GGGGGGGCGGGGGCTTCTCCTGGAGACCCCAGCCCAGGGCCCTTCCTATCGCGCTTGCACGGCCAGGCCTGACGCGGTGGGGAGGCCCAGCACCCGGAGACTGGCGCATGCCCTCACCCAAATGACCAAGACGCGACCCGCACTCTTCCTCCGCGCACAACCCTATCCCACCCCCACGCAGCGCCCGGGAAGGGGCGGTGGCCTGGAGGGACGCGGGGCTGGCCCTGGCTCTGCCAGCACCCCTCCTGCGAGCAAAGCCGAGGAAGGCCAGTGTGCCGGACACGTTCCCAGGGCTGTGCCACTGGGCGGGCCCGAGGCCACTTGGGGTTCGGAGGGCAGCAGCGCTGTCGCCCGGCTCCCCGTGAGCAGCAGGCTCACCTGTGTAGTACTGAGTAGTGTTCTTCCTCGTTCTACTCGACTGCTGCAGGTTCTGGGACTTGACTCCCGGGTGAAGGGCGCCCGCACCTACCAGACGGCACATGCTGACATCAGGACAGGTGTGCGTCCTCTGTCCGAACTTGTGGGGCCAAGCTCGCACACCCTCCCGCCTCCGTCACCCGACCTCCATGCAGGGCCCCGTGCGACCACTAGGGATGCCCCGGCAGCAAAAGCAAGGCGGAGGCGCCAACCTGGGCAGGTGGGCACCCTTCAGAGGCGACAGGGTCTTTGCTCTTTTTGACCAGTCATGCCCTCACTAAGGGTTGTCCGAGCACAGGCACCCACCTTGCAGGGCTCAGCTTCTGACAAAAGAAACAACGCCTGGGGTGGGGGGTGGGAGATGGTTACCGATTACAGGGATCTACATAGAACCTCCTCCCTGGGGGACGGACCACAGAAAAGTGGGTGAAGGGAGCCGTCAGACAGTGTAAGATATGACAAAATAATAATTTATAAATTATCAAGGGTTCATAAGGGAGGGGGGAGCGGGGAGGGAGGGGGAAAAATGAGAAGCTGATGCCAAGGGCTTAAGTGGAGAGCAAATGTTTTGAGAATGATGAGGGCAACAAATGTACAGATGTGCTTTACACAATTGATGCGTGTATTGATTGTGATAAGAGTTGTAGGAGCCTCCAATAAAATGATTAAAGAAAAAAAAAGAAAGAAAAGAACGCCAGGGCTGCTAACTGCATGGTGAGCAGGAAACCCTGCCCCCAGTCCTCCTGCACACCCGCTGGGGCCGCTGGGACCACCCTGCGCTCAAGCCCACACATGCCCCGGGGGAGGGCAGCAGGCGGGACCCCCAAGGCTAGGCAGGAGACTGTTCCTGCTCTTGGTCTGAATGCCACAGACCCTCAGCCAGGCGTGGGGTGGGGGACAGAAAGGAGAGCTGGCAGGTGGTGGCAGCTAGGGACTCTGCCTGTGACTGTCCAGGGGACTCCCGGTTACCTGGGCCTCCTGCTCTGGTCCATCCAGGCCTCCCGCCCTCCCTGCACATAGGCTCTCCTGGAGCTTTACAGTTGATCCTGCCTGTATTACCCCACCCCCCACCAGGTCTCCACTTGGTTAGTTTGGAGTGTGCCCCACCTCTGGGGAGCATTGAGACACCCCTGGGTGGAGCCCGGAGAGCCAGGTGGGAACTCATCTTAGCTAAAGACCCATCATGGGGTCTTGCTGACACACTGCCCAAGACCTGACCCTCTGGGTCCCTCACATACATCCATCTCCCTCCTGCCTGGCCGTGGACCCTGCAGGCAGCAGTCACCCCCAGGGTGGGGCTGGGCTCCTATCCACGCCTCCCCTCCCATGTTACTGCTGGGGCTGAGAAGGCACGACAAGGCCTTACCTCTGTGCTGTACATTCATGAAGGCGGCCAGGAACAGCAGCACCCCAAACGCGCTGAGGGGCCAGCTGGGCGCCCATAAGGAAGTCGGCATGGCCAGTGGCTGGCTGGAGATGTGCCTCTGGCTCCTTCGTCCTGATCACTGGTTGTTGGGGTGCTCCTGGAGGATTGAAAGCTGGTGGGCCAGGGGCCGGGAAGCCTGGGATCCAGCCTGCGTTCTGGGCCAGCACACCTGGGATGCCCAGGGTTGACCTGGAGGGACAGGCCCTGCGTGCCTGGCTCCCTCCCTCCGGATGTCAGACCCAGTGACGCCTCAGCTGCATGGAAAACCCTTCCCGGGTGAGGCAGACTCTTCACCCACAAACCGAACCACTGGAGATTCGAAAGCCCCCAGCCCTGATTCAGAAAAATCGCCTGGCAGCAAGCATCTAACAAATGACCCCGAGACACTGGGATTGCAGCCTTGCCCTGCGAGACAGGCCCTCACAGCTACTGGCGTTTACCGTGGGCTTCCACAGAGGCTCTGTGAGTCAGTCTCATGAAGACAGGGAGCGGTCCCGGGCCTGGGGAGCCGCAGGGACCCACGTTTGATCAGTTTCATGTTCGCACCTCAAACCCATCTGGGAGCCTTTTTACCCCAGAAAATGGAGCTTGTGGGAACTTGTACTCAATGCCCCACGGGGGCCCACCCTGGACCGGCCCCACGAGGGGACGCATTCTGAATTGCTGAGAAGGTGCCAAGGCAGCTGCTCTTCCTGCTTCTGCTTCGCAGGGAGTTTTCCGTGGCCAGAGCTTCCAGAAACAATCTGGTCTGCTTATCAGGGAGCCTTCTGCGGTCAGAGCTTCCAGAAACAGTCTGGCCGTTCTTGCCCTGACACCCGGCTAACATCTGCATGCTCCCTTGCCTGTGTATTTTCACAAC